GAGTGATCTGTCGATTAGTCTTTGTTTGATAGTGCGCCAAAATGTACGCCTCGACTGTCTCTGTTCGCTCGTTTTCGTTTTGACTGTTGCCTTGCTTTTAGAGTGAAGTGGTACATCCAACCGTCTTCACCGACGGTTATGTAAATCGATGCTAAAAGATGCCTTTAGATTGCGGCGAAATCATGCCAAAAGATGCAAGAAATAACAAAATTGTTCGGCTCAGTCTTTGCTGGTGTGACTAAAGGGCAGGACCAATCGCATAGTTCACTTTGGCACATCGTCAAACAAGTCGACTGATCGACAGATCGCTCTGTCATACTTAACCGAATGAAGAAAGACTGGGAAATGCGATAATAAAGATTTGGCCGAGTTCGTGCTATCTCTGTAACAAACCACGTATTTTTTGCACGAGCCACGTGTTTTGATACCATTTAAAAGTTGCGAAAAATACCGCCTCAGCTAGGAGTCGAACCTGAACCACCGCGCTTGCCAGGTGGCACGTCACACCGTTGACCTCACCGAGGTGTCGACAGTATTCCTCGCAACCCGGTGCTCATAAGTCTTGTTTGTTCAAAAGTAAGCTATGTTTCCAGCCAGAAGTGCAAGAAACACTCTATACCATATAAACTGGCTCTCGAGGTATACAATTAAATTAAGAATATCCAAGGCAAGTAAGAGCCGAGCGCTGTTAGAGAAATATTTTTAATGTCGAAAGGATATATAATATGTTTGAGGTTTGAAAATGTCGCATGAAAGATCTCTCAGATAGGACGCTAAAGAGAGAGAGAGAAAGAGAGAGATGTAAAGCTTCCCAGCAGAGGAACTAAACTTCGAATGCCAAGTTGGACGGCATTAAAACGCGAATGGTCAATCTTTAAACGACGAGCCGAAATCCACGCGATATTCCGCGACCACCGATATCGACGTATCACTGTAATTTTACAACCGTATTCGTTACATTCCGCCGTAAATTCCACCGCGTGACGGACGAGTAGCGCGAGGGATAGCGCGTTATCCTTGAAATTTAACATACGACGGGAACATCACGCACCGCGCATTACTACCCCCGTAAACTATAAACACTGCACGAAAGCATTAAACTCCAACCCTCGCCGGTCGCACGTATCGCGCGCGCGTTTTCTTCAGCTCCTGCGTCGTGGTTGACAGAAATTTCGGAAATTCGACTTCGCCGCCCGAAGTTCCAAGTCTTGCGTGAATTCGAGTTACGTTTGCTCACAAGTCGTGCGTGAACACTTGTGTGTGTGTGTGTGTACGCGTGCGCGCACGAGCATGTGTGTGTGTATGTGTGTGTGCGGGGAACACGCCTATCGCGCGACCCGATCCGACCGTCGGGAGGGCTCACCGGCGTCACGACGCTGGCTCGACATCGTGGCGCCGGATACGTGACGAGCGGCGGACAGGACAGGAAGAGGATGCGCGACGAGCGCGCGCCAGACGGAGACAGGAAGCAGGAAGAGAGGAAGCGACGAGAGGACGTTAGATAGAAGCGCGTGTCCCGGGACAAGGACGGAATAGCGAAAGGGCTTATTATTAAAGTTAGCGCGAGAGAGAGCGACGTCTGCGAGAAGCGATGGATGGTTAATGACACCGGATAACAAAGCTATTTTGATCCGCCGTCACGGCCGTCGCATTGGCGATATCTTCGACGGATTTTACGGAAGAAGGGGGAAGTTCCTTGTGCCGGATTAAGATATATCTTTCGTATTACTCGCGTCCTTGCGACGCTCCGCGTCGAGCTAACGCGTTGAGGACGCGAAGACGAATTTTCTCGAGTAAAAATTGGATCGCGCGAACGTCATAGAAATTGTAAATTTCCCGTCAGCGACAAAGTGAAATTACGCGACATGAACAACAAGCTGGGCTCGTGCATGACCTCAACGTCTCTTGAGTTTATCTTTTTTCTTCTACGTGTTATAAAATTTGCGTTAGGATGAATAAACATGCATTCTCATCGCTTTGATCCCTCAATATGAGTATTTCAGCAGTCGACATAGAATATACAGTATGTATGTGTTCGATGTTGTGTACACAGGATGAGGCAGTAACAGTATTGCCACCTGGAATATCTTTGGAGCAGGAAGCTTACCTTCAGAAATCTTCGAAGTTACTCTACTTAGAAAAAAGGTATCTTAGGTGGTAATACCTTTTTCTTAAGCAGACTAACTTGTGCTAATTTCTAACTTCGAAGATCTGAAGATCACCTTTGTGTGTACGCGTGCTTCGAAGATATTCCAGGTAGCCGTATGTATATATATACGAGGGTGGTCTGAAAAGTTTCCGACCTAACAAAGATACAAGTCATTTTTTCTGAAAATTGTTTTTTATTTTTCAACATAGTCTCCTTGTAAATCTACACACTTCTCCCAGCGATGCTCCCATCTCTGTAACCCGTCGAAATAGTACTCGGCGTTTTTCTCTGCAAAATAATTGTTCACGAAGGTGATTGCCTCTTCATTTGACGAAAATCTCTGTCCTCCGAGCGCAATTTTTAGATGAGGGAACAAAAAGAAGTCGCTTGGGGCTAGATCTGGTGAGTAAGGTGGATGGTCAAGCAGTTCAAACCGTAATTCGTGGATT